GGACCATAATGGCTGGCGACGCCAGCCAAAAAAGAAAGAAAAGAAAAAGGGCCATACGGGCGCTTCGGCAAAAAGCTTGGTGCACAGGGGGAGTCCATTTCGGGAAAAAGAAGGCTCGGATGTGCCGGTCGTTTAAACCACCAGTGCGTCTCCCAGGAAAACTTCGGAATCGGAATCGAGGCAGTCTGAAAATTTTGTAGGCTTTGTGCCATCACACCAACATGGCCTGTGGCGCCAGCCAAAAAACAGAAAAGAAAAAGTGATGTGCCGGGCCCGTGCGGGCGTTTTGGGAGAAAGCTTGGCGTGCAGGGGGAATCCACCTCGGCAAAAAGAGGCTCCGATGCGCTCGTGGTTTAGTGGAGTTTCAAATTTTTTGATACATCGTTTCTCTCCCCAAGATCTAATCTCCTAAAAATCATCAATGGGCCGTGGCCGTCTGCTTCGCAAGTGTGGCCTGTCGTTGTTGTAGTTCCCCTTTCCCATTCTCACCACGGGACCGATCGTCCCTCAAGTACCGCAAGTACCGCAAGTACCGCAAGTACTGAAACGCATCCTTTAACAGTTCCAACCACAACTCGGGGTCAGGTTCCCCTGTGCTTAGAAATCAAGAATCTGGTCAGAAAAATGGGAAAACGGGGCTGGTCGCCAGCCCAACCAGACCAACCATTTTTCTTTCTTAGCTTGGAATCATGGTTACTTCTGGTTCAAAGCACCAGTACATGGCCCCAGCCAAGTTGAGAGTCCAATCGAGCCTCTCCTAAAATTTAGGAGGTTCGCGCGGCATTGATGAAATAAATCGACGGCGGGCGGCCTTCAAAAGGGACCTGCGGCCGATGGCTGGCATGAACTGGTGGTTTAATGGAGTTTCGATACTTCGCGTCTCACTCCACTACTCACCAAATGTGCAAAATTGAGAATGAATCTTCTGCTAGGACATGGAAAGATACACTGCCATATTTTTTGTCTTTTGTGCATGTTGCGAGTCAGTGGAGCGAGGTCCTTCACTGCGTAGCATCGTGTTCACATTCGGTGACCGAACCCCAACGTTCGCGATCGAAGGCGAACAAGTGCCAAATTTCTCCAAACACAAACATAAAAAATATCAACAAAAAAAAACTCAGAAACATCTGAAGAAAATATATATGTTATGTAAAATAATAATGCAAACAGCTTTTGCCTGGGAGGCATGTTCAAATTCTTAGCCAAACGCGATTTGAAAATCAAAACCCTAAAAACTGAAACGGTTTTCAACTTTTCACCTTTGCAGTAGCAGATGCAGATCCCAGGGCTTGGTCCCTCGATCTTCACCTCACCCGTGTACAGTATCGAGTCGACCCCTGTGTGTTTGAACTCGTGACCTGTGTTTTGGTAGTTGACTGTAGTCTGTCATAGGTCTGTGTGGTCGTAGGGATTCGATCTGTAGATCTGTCGAGCAGGGGTCATAGTTGGGCAGAGGCCGTAGCTGTAGCAATTTTGAAAGGTCAAGGTCGTAGCTGCTACAGTCCTGAAAGGCCCCGCAGACTTCCGGGAGGTCCGGAAGTGGCCTTTCAAGTTTCTTCTCACGTTATTCACAGCAGACCAGAGAGAAGTGGGCAAGACTGCAAGTGATGAGTCCAACTTTGCTTAGTCAGCGGTACCCAGTCCCAGTCTGACTTTGCACGGTCAGCAAGTATCATGAGGGACTGTGTGCACCATGGGCCCGGTGGAAAGGGGCAGACCACGACATACAGAAGCATAAATCAAGAGGAAGCGTCCAGACATTCATTCATTCCTGCATGAGCCATGTGGAAGCACTGCCCTAGCGTCTTGTGCAAGGTGGTCTGCAGATGCCCGAGGACGAAGTGGGCCGAAGGAGGATAGAGTATCCATAGCTAGTTGGGGTTAGGCGGCCATAGCCGCTGTAGCTTAGAGTCAGAATTCAGTGTGTGCGTGTGAGTGGCAAAGATTATATATCCCACGGGGATCCAGAGTTAAGTGGGTGCGAAAAATGGTGTTGGACACAGTGACAAGAGCTGGGATGTACGGGCGCTGATGCGCCATAGCCGGTTGAAGGGAGTTTGTATCTGAACTGTGTTCTCGGTTCCCATATCTCTGAGCTTTGAGTGGGCGCTTGGCGCCAGTGTGAAATGCCATATGTCTGCATGTATGCTAAGTGAAGAAGAAAGCGAGTCTGATTGCATTGGTATTGGAGCTGGTTCCCGTTATTCCACATGTCGTCGCTGTCTGGGCGCCATAGCTGTAGCTGCGCCAACGAAGGAGGAGGGTCCGCCATAGCTGTGTCGTTGAAGGAGGGTGCCGCGAACCTGCATAGAAGACAACGACGAAGAGAGAGAGAGAGAGGAGCGATACAAGATTGTTGTGCGGTCCAAGGAAGAATGGGCCATAGCCGCCGAGCTCGAACATAGAGAAGAAGAAGAAAGACGAGTGAAGGAGGAGGGAGAGACGAAGAGGAAAGAAGAAGTCCTAGCTACGGAAGAGGAAGGAGGGACTACGAAAGTGAAGGAAGCCATAGCCGGGGTGAAGTGAGAAAGAAGGAGAACGAAGGTTGGTGAGGAAGAAAGGGGTCGGCAGCCATAGCCGAGTTGAGGGTTGACCAAGGCGTTGACCGAGGGGTTGACCAACGTTGACCAAGACTTTGATCGAGGAGTTGATCAGGGAGTTGATTGGCATTGACTAAGGCGTTGACCGGCGAGTTGGCCAAGTGTTGACCAACGTTGATAGGAGTTGTTCACCACGAAAATGACCAAGTTAGAGTTGGTATATTCTCGCCAAGCCTTCAGCCTATCCCCTCGCCCTATGGATGTGCACTCACCCTATGGTACTTGCCGAGTCTGTTCGTCTCTTCTTTCTGCATTGAGTCCCTTCTGTCCAGGTGATAGGACTCATAGAGCTGCGTTGACCAAATCGACACGGGCTAAGTAGGGCTTAATACCATGTCTGACAACTGACACGTCCCGGAGGACAAACCTTCCCAAGGACCGGTACAGACCGGCGGGCTGAGTAGTGTGGCATGGGTGGCCCAAAATCCGAGTTGTGGGCTGCACAACCAGCTGTCTAAGTGTTGAGAGGGCTCTGTTGATCGCGTCGTCCTGACTGCGACGTTAAAGAATTCCTAAGGAGTTATGGGGATCTCCTTAAATGCCTCCTGATCAGCAGTAGAGCTCTGTAGTAATAGCCTTAGAAGTAGGTCAAGGCTAGTGACCCTAGTTGACAAGGTCCTGATCCGGAGAGAAAGCCAAGTGGGATTGACCGTAGGTTCAGGGCATCTGGGTCTGGTTTGTAAAGGACAGTGGTGGCGAAAGCTTCCGTCGGCCGTCGTAACTTGGCTGGATCGAAGGGTAAGGCTGTATAGTCCTTAGAGAGTCAGTCAGTCAGTTAAGTCACTCATCACGTCGTCCTGACTGCAATGTTAAAGAATTCCTGAGGAGTTAGGGGGGATCTCCTCAAATGCCTCCTGATCAGCAGTAGAGCTTTGTAGTAATAGCCTTAGAAGTAGGTCAAGGCTAGTGACCCTAGTTGACAAGGTCCTGATCCGGAGAGAAAGTCAAGTGGGATTGACCGCAGGTTCAGGGCATCTGGGTCTGGTTTGTAAAGGACAGTGGTGACGAAAGCTTCCGTCGGCCATGGTAACTTGGCTGGATCGAAGGGTAAGGCTCTGTGGTCCTTAGAGAGTCAGTCAGTCAGTCAATTAAGTCAGTCAGGGGGTGGAAGTCTAAGTGGTGAGGAGTGGAACTGTCACTCGGTTGTGCATCTTTCTCCATGGTTGACACGCGTAGCGGTAAGAGTACCACCTTATACACCAAAGAGCAAGAAGAGAAGGCCACCGCCATCCTGAGAGAGGAAGGAGAAGAGGGAGAAGAGGGAGCTTATTAAGCAGGCGAAGATGCTGGCCTTGATGGAGGAGTAAAAGGCCAAGCAAAAGCAAATGGAGGAGCTTCAGAAGTGGAAAAAGGAATAGGAGGAGAAATTGGCGGCAATAGAGTCAGAGACAGAAGAAGAAGAACTAGAGCAACCACTGGAAAGGAGAAGAACGGAAGAGAAAGGGGAGTCCAGTGGAGTGAGGGGGACAAAGTCGAGATGGAGGTGGAAGCTAAGATGGAGAGGATGGTGAACGAAAGGGTAGCCAACTTGGCCCTGGGGAGGAAGCTGAAGCATTCTTGTTTGTCCCTCAGGCGGAGCGGGAACAGTCTGCTAGGGAATTGGAGGGTGAAGAGAATCCCAGGAAGAGGCAGGCAATGGAGGAGGAGAAGAAGTTAGAGTGGAAACTACGCCTTGCCCGCGAGAAGAAAAGAAGACTGGAGGCGGCCGAGAAAATGGAAGAGGATTTGAGGGCCGCCGAAGTAGAACATGGGAAGTTGGCAGTGCAAGTCGATCTCCAAAGGAAGGTGAAGGTTTTGTCACAGAGTGTGGAGTAATGTTGAGGGCGTAGCAAGAACAGTTGCCTTATTTAAAGGGCCACGATATTGCTCTGCAATCTATGCGCACCGGTTTTAAAGATTTTGCAAAGGATATGATGATGCATGTAGGCACCGAGTTGTGCACCATTATGGAGGGCACACAAAAGTTTTGTGTAGGCGCCATTGAAGGTGCCAAGATAGCGGGCCCTAAAGAAGAAGAGGCCCGGCCACGTAGAGAGCGCGTGAAGGCAAGTTCCGTGATCACTATAGTGGGAAATCGGGAGAGGATTTTGATAACTGGGAGGCCAGTGTAAACTCCTATGTGCATCTCCAAGATATTGCGCCTGAGGACCAGGTCCTTGTGGCCTTTCATGCCCTTGAAGCAGCTAGTTTTGCCAGATCGTTAGCCCGCGTTGCCAAGTGCGAGAATGACATGGTCGCATACTCCATCCTTACCCCCCTTAGTGAATTCCTCAGCGCCCTGCGAGAGTGTTTCGCAGATGTCACTAGGGGCCTCAGGGCCTCTGACAATTTGCAAACTGTCCACACAAGACAGTGGAAGAGTGTTAGGGCGTTGAAGGCCACCATAGATGAACTCGTCACCGTTCCTGGCCACGGGGTCATTGAGCCCCTCCAATTGTTCTACCGCGCTGTGCTCGAGAAGTTGCATGGGCATTTCTTTGATAAAAAGCAACAACCCAACATGACGTACGATACGCTGAGTAGAGAGGTTTTTGCCTTTGAGGCTCAGTCCATGCCAGTCACCACTTTCTGGCATAAGGACCTCGCCAAAGGGAAAAAGTGGAAAGGCCACACCATCACCAGTCGGGTCACGGCTAAAGACAATCTTATTCTTACATTAGATGAGGGTGGTCTAGAAGAGGTTCCGTATAGCGAGATTGAGTGGGGCCTCGATGAGGAGGACAGCGGCACTGGGCAGGGGAGGACCTATGCTGCTATCGCGGCCGGAGGGAGGCCACAAGGGAGAGGAAGAGGTGAGGGCCAAAGGGGCCAGACCTCTGGTGACAAAGGGCAAAGCGGGCCGGGGGTTGGCGGCAGGGGAAACCGCCAAGCGGGAGGAAGGGGTCAAGGTGCCCCGTCAAACCGTCGTCGTTCTAGTTGGTCACCTCCCAGGTCGGGTGGATGGCACCTTGGTCGGCCTGAGGGCCGGCCCTGGGAATCACTGGGCTTAGAACAGACAGTGTGGCAGAGGCAAATAGACCAGGACCAGTGCATCTATTGTGGTCATCTTGGGCACATCATAAAATATTGCCCTAAATATAGAGAAGACCGGTTTGCTGCACAGGCAGCAAAAGGCAACCGCCGGTAGGGGTTGCAACTGCCCCTACCCCTAGACCATGTGTAAGAGTGCGCGCACCACAGGGAAACTCCCAAACCACATGTGTCTTTGGCAGAGGTTGCTGGCCAGTGTCTAGACAGTTGTCCAGAGACTGCTTGTGTTAGAGTCTCTCCTGGCACTTCCCTCATAGGCGTGGCAGGAGAGTTGAAGGAGAGAATGCCTACCTGAGCCATGCGGAGGGACAACTAGTTTTGGTAGATGTAGAGATTTTCAAAGGTAGAGTAGGGGGCCTTATAGACAGTGAGGCCGCCCGCAGCTATATTAGCAAGAAGGCGCTGCATAAGCTGAAGCTTAATTTGGAAGTCCAAAGGTTAGCAGACCCTATAGTTAGCATCCTCGCAGACAATCACACTATGCGAATCGAGGACTATGTCGAGGGAGTCCAGACGTACTTTCGCTTAGAGAAGGATGGGAAGGTAGAGAAAGTCCTTCATTCCTTGACTTTCCTCGTAGAAGACAGTCTCCCATTCGACATAGTTTTGGGAATGGATTGGGGAGAGGCACCGGGTGCCACACTCCATTTAAGAGAGCACGAGTGTAGGCTCCCTAGTCCATCAGGCGAAGAGAAGACAGCCTGCCTATTTCATGTGTCAGGAGTAGATAACACTTTGGCACATTGCTGCCTCAGTGCTCCCGCGTTCGCGCGCTTAGTGAAGAAGGAGCAATTGGAGGAACAGGTTTTTGTAGCCTATGTACGGCCGGTCACTGAGCCTAGGGAATAGGAGCCCACTAACCCAACTATTGCCAAGTTGTTGGAGGAGTACGCAGACTTGTCTGAGCCGCCTAGAGGTGTAGTACCGCGGCCAATCCAGCATCGCATTGAGATAGAGCCCGACAGTAGGACACCTAAGGGAGTCGTTTATAGAATGTCCCCACGGGAGTTAGAGGAGCTGCGCAAGCGGTTAGACGAGCTCCTCGAAAAGGGTTGGATTAGGCCTAGTTCGTCTCCATTTGGAGCACCTGTTCTTTTTGTTCCCAAAAAGGAGGGAGAGCTTCGTATGTGCATTGACTATATAGGTCTTAACGCCATCACAGTGAAGAATGCAGAACCACTGCCCCGTATAGATGATCTGCTAGATCGGGTGCAGGGCTGCAAATACTTCTCAAAGATAGACTTGAAGTCAGATTATCATCAAATAGAGGTCCATCCTGATAATCAGCACAAAACGGCGTTTAGAACAAGATATGGGCACTACGAGTTTATAGTAATGCCCTTTGGACTAACCAATGCCCCAACTACCTTTCAACGTTGTATGAATGATTAGTTTAGGCCTTGGTTAGATAGATTTGTAGTAGTCTACTTAGATGATAATTTAGTCTTTAGTAAGACCCTGTAGTAGTCTACTTAGATGATAATTTAGTCTTTAGTAAGACCCTCCAAGAGCATGAGGGTCATCTGAGGCAGGTCTTGGATAAGTTGAGGGAAACTAACTTCAATATCAACGCGAAGAAGTGCGAGTGGACCAAGACACAAGTTTTGTACTTGGGCCACGTCTTAGATGGAGATGGCATAAAGCCTGAGGACAGCAAGATAGCAGCGATTAGAGATTGGCCAACGCCCCGCACATTGACAAAGTTGCGGTCGTTCCTAGGCTTAGCCAACTACTATAGAAAGTTCGTGTGGAACTTCTCCACCATCGCTGCACCCCTTCGCAGGTTGCTAAAGAAAGAAGCAATCCGGAAGTGGGACAAAGATTGTACATCATCCCTGAAGAAGTCGAAGAGGGCTTTGATAGAATATCCAGTCCTCAAGGTAGCCGATCCGTCCTTGCCATTCGTTGTTACTACTGACGCGAGTCAATACGACATAGGTGTTGTTTTACAGCAAGATGACGACAATGGATATAGACTCATAGAGTTCATGTCTGCTAGGATGCCTTACGAGAAGGTAGCAACATCAACCTATGAGAGGGAACTCCACGCTCTCAGGCAAGCACTAGACCATTGGAAGCACTACTTGCTTGGGAGGCACTTCGAAGTGTATTCAGACCACGAGACGCTGAGGTGGTTGAAAACACGGGCCAAGATGACACCTAAGCTTACTAGGTGGGCAGCCGAGATGGATCAATTTGGCTTTGAGCTCAAGCCAATGAAAGGAAAGTATAACGTAGTCGCGAACGCTCTAAGTAGGGGGGCTGATTACAGCGGAGCGATAGTTCATTATCTGGACATAGGGAGAGACCTGCAACAAAAAGTTAAAGAGGCATATGCACAGGACCCTATCTATAGTGACCTCCTCAAGAGAGTGGAGGCCCGAGAGACAGAACCAGATTAGTGCACTACCGATGGGTTACTATTCGAGAAGACTAACATAGGGGACCGTCTGTGCGTCCCCAACAGTGAGGAAGTCCGTAGTTTGATCCTAGGGGAATGTCACGACACAGAGGGACATTTCGGTTGGCAGAAGACATTAACCAACCTTATGCATGCGTATACGTGGCCTGGTATGAAGGCTGACTGCATAGAGTATGTACGCTGTTGTAAGGTGTGCCAATGAAATAAGACCGCTACGCGAGCCCCTCTTGGTCTTCTCAGACCCTTGCCTATTCCTGATGGCCACTGAGATTCTGTGTCCATTGACTTTATGGATGCAGGAGTCAAGAGTAGGCATGGCAAGAGCCAAGTCATGGTTATAGTGGATAGATTTAGCAAGTATGCAGTTTTTGTTCCCTTGCCTTCAGAGGCACGTACAGATTTAGTAATACGAAAGTTTTT